AGTCAAACGGAGACGTAACAATATATTAATTAGCTGGGCTGGACTTCGCATTATTTTCACCAAATAATTTAAAAGAGCCCACCCAATTACAGAACACGTTATAACAATAGACAATAACCAGAGAAATCTTTTTCCAATGATAATCTTTTGTTCAAATAATTTTTGTTAAACTACGAAATTGTCTAAGGCTAACTTTTTTACTGAAAATAATTATAATAATGACGAAAACCGTTATATTCTCTGTTAAAAGATTATGACATCTTGATAATGCTAAAAACTATTCCGATTTGTTGAAAAGTTCTTGTTGATTCGATAATAAAGAGTAATGAAATTATTAGTGTAATTAGCATTCTTAATGCATTAGAATTGTCAAATTAATTTCATAATATACATGAATTCTAAAAGGAATTACAATTCTAGCATAATTAAACTCGTTTTGGAAGTTTTTCTTATTAAGTATTTATGTTCTTTAGAAGTGTTGTGTCAGCGAGGTCACGTGACTAGTATCACGCCACTTCTTTCTCGAACCTTCGTGAATTGTCGGGAGATTACTAGATTGGGGGTAGGCTGGTATATATAAGATGGTCACAACGTGACGGGACAATGTGTAGGTAATGAGTAATTGAACTGCAGTCAGAGAGTGTGTAATTGAACGGAGTATTGTCGCGCTCGTGAGACGTGAGTTATAGCGTTTATTATAGAGCGACTGTTGAAATTAAGTGTATCGGTAAAGTTGTATTCGGAAAGAATAAACCAGTTTTATTTAAGAAAGGACTTGTGTCGCTAAAGTTCGTCGGAACGAAGTTACGGAAAATTAACTAACGACTGGAGGTGTAACAGAACTTCATTATTTTTTAACAATCAATTTTATTTTATACCGTAAATAGCTTTGGTTAGGACTCTTTATCGCCCAGTGCTACAAAAAAATCTACTGAGAAATATAATGTACCAATCAAGGATAAAAAAAAAAGAATTGGACATAGGTATATATATATAGGTTTTAATATTACCTTAAAACCATACTGTTAGGCTTACTGAAAGAAGATAAATGTTGACCTGTTTGAAAAATGTGCATATGAGAGAATGATATCTAATTTATGTTATTGTTTGTTTGTTTGTACTTATGCATAAAGCTACACAATGGGCTATCTGTCCTCAACCCATCACGGGTATCGAAACCCGGTTTCTAGCATTGTAAGTCCGCAGACATACCGCTGTGCCACTGGGGGGGGGGGCTAATTTATGCCATAGACACTTTCATTCTCAGCTCATTTAAAAGTATATATGAAAGTATTTTCACTAAATCTAATAATGAATATTAGAGGCTTGTAGCCACGCCAACAATCGTAAACATCTCTAATGAACGTTTCGGAATTTACACAGTCACTGTATATTACTTGTACCTGATGATGACAAAACCTTGTACATTTACTGTTGTGTTAAACTTATATTAAAGTTTTTCTTCATTACCCATTCAAGCCGTCTCCAACCACTATTAATATTTAGGATAATTACTAATATATAAATACAGTGAATAGTGTTAGGAAATTATAAAACATTCAATTAAAAAAAGGGGGAGAGAGAGAGCTATTTGAATAATGCGAGGGGGGGGTGAGTTTGAATTTCTATTAAGGCTTGGATTTTCATTCATAATATGTGGGTTTACTATTCATCATTAGATTTTGTTTTCCACCAAATGTATCAATTATGTTAACTAAGGAATTACTTATAATGGCTGGAGACGGCTTAAATGGGTAATGAAGAAAAACTTTAATATAAGTTTAACATGACAGCAAATGTACAACGTTTCGACAAGGGTTTTTCACCAGATGATGACAAAACCTTGTCGAAACGTTGTACATTTGCTGTCATGTTAAACTTATATTAAAGTTTTTCTTCATTACCCATTTAAGCCGTCTCCAGCCATTATTAGTCTCAAAGTGGGTTCCTCGTCATCGAATAAGGGATTACTTGGTATTTTTTTGTTCCCCAGATACATATTGTTACGACAGCGGAAGTGACGTGCGCTGGTAACACGTAATGAGTATCTCGAACGTTCCTGAGGGCTCTAGTGTTTGCTAGACGCCCTCTATTTTGTATATATAAGACCGGCAAGAAGTGGCGGCATAAATAATTGTATTGCAGACAGGCAGAGATAAAAACAATTGAGTCAAGCGCTGTAGCAAATAAAATTCGTGAATCGTTCGTTGTGAATTATAGCGTGTGTTTAAATTAAAGTGACTGTGGAAATTAGGTGTATTGCAAAGTTGAATTGAGAAAGAATAAACTAGTTTTATTGAAGAAAAGACTTGTATCGCTGAAGTTTCTCGGAAAGAATTTCTACGAAAAATTAACAAACGAACACAGACGTAACAATATAAATATCTCATTCTCATCGTAAAACAAAATATAATTCTACATATAGATATGTGACTAACCATTTTAGGTTTTAGGCTATGTATTCATATTGTAGGTTAATTATATGTACATAATATGTTACACTGATATGTAGTTGTTAGTTTTATCTCTCACTTCTTGGTACATAATATTTACCATGAAATAGCATAATGATCCCTTATAATACTAGTACTTACAGCAACAGCGCTGCGCACGGTTATTGTAGTGCAAGAAGACTGACGTGTTCGTTACTGATTTACTACTACTGTTATTGTTACTGTGAAAGTTAAGCTGAAACAGTTTTGAGACTAAAAGTAAAACATCTTAGAAGCGGTTTGTATTTTAATTTTCAGAAACGTAAGTCGTATATATGAGGTATTATGTCTTATTCATAATATTTTGTTTTCATGGCAATCTGACGGATTTTTTTCTTTGCAGCAAGTTTAATTTAAATTTTCATTTGATTTTGAAAATGACATCCGTGTATCGTACTGAGTCATACATTTGCGCTGATGCTATTATTAACTTTAAACTTATTTAAGTTATTGTCCAGTTAAAAATTTTAGATGACTTTTCACTAGCTTTCATTAGGCCAAGCTGGTCTATAAATTTACAACTATAATAAAACTAGAGCGATCTGTACTACTTTGGGTTTTTTACAGTTGTCCATATAATGCAAGGTATAATATAGTTTGTCATGTGAAACCTTGTTTTGCTCTCTTTCTAATCTTTTTTTTTTTCTAAAGCTGTATGTTTTCTATTTTATGACTTAGGGGTCAATCTTACTTTCTCCCCAAAGACATTTTTGGCCAACAACTGATTGAGAATTTTCTTCAACCATTGGTTAGGGAACCTACTAAGAATAATGTTATTTTAGATTTGTTTTAACTTTCAATAAATAAGTGGTTGATACATTAGAGGTTGGGGAACATCTGGATGCAAGTGATCACTACTTAATTATATTTGATGTTTTGCTTCATATGAATAGAACAAATTATAACATTTGGATTCCAAATTTCAAAAAAGCAAATTTTGAAGAGATGAGACAAGAAAGAACTGTGTGCTTTGAATTCGGATAACTGAATTAGTTGGAGATACTGATTAAATATGGAATATTCAAGATAGGCATGTTTCTTATAGACAGAAATGGTGGCTGTAAGTAAAAAACCAGATTATCACCCTCAGAGTAGCAGTACATGTACACTGTAACTAATCGTTACCCTCAGAGTAGCAGTACATATAAACTGTAACTAATCATCACCTTCACAGTAGCAGTACATATACACTGTAACTAATCATCACCCTCACAGTAGCAGTACATCATAAATGAAATAACATCTTCACATTTTTGTACTCTACATTTTATTAAATTTTTGCTTCAATTTATTCCTCTATAGTGAATTTCTTTTGTATCTGAGATGCATTTATTTAGCATGAAACTAATAGAAATTAAGTCAATTTAAAGCCAGGATTTTTCTAAAATAAAGTTGTTACTTACGATTATAAGGCATTTTTTACTTATTGCATAGTAGTATCTGTAAATATTATGGACATTTCCTTAAATGAAATAAATTTATTACAGGTATTTGTTTTCTCTTCTCATCTAAGAATGAACTTGTAAACTTTGTAGGATTTTTTTGTACAGATGGCCCAAAATTTCCCTCCTCTAAAGAATGATGCCATACTGCGTGTAGCTCGTGGTCAACGGACAGAATTCACACCTGTTTGGGTAATGAGACAAGCAGGACGATACTTGCCAGAATTTCGTGAAATAAGAAAAGATTTCAGCTTTTTTGAACTTTGTAAGACCCCCGAACTTGCTTGCCAGGTTACATTGCAACCAATAAATCGTTTTAATCTTGATGCAGCCATAATATTCTCTGATATTTTAGTAATACCACAAGCACTGGGCATGACAGTGGATATGCTTCCTGGTGTAGGCCCACATTTCCCCAAACCTCTAGAGAAACCAGATGACTTGTCTGTATTAAAAGAATCTCCAAATGTGAAGAAAGAACTTGGTTATGTTTTTGATGCTATTACATTAACTAGGCACAGGCTTGAGGGTAGAGTTCCCCTTCTGGGGTTTTGTGGAGCCCCTTGGACTGTTATGGGATACATGATTGAAGGTGGGGGAACCAAAACCATGTCTAAAGCTAAGCGTTGGCTGTATCAGTGGCCTGTGGAGAGCCACAAGCTTTTAAAGATCCTCACCGATGTTACGATCGACTACCTTGTTGGTCAGGTTGAGGCTGGTGCCCAGATGCTGCAGGTGTTTGAGTCTAGTGCTGGCTTCCTTGGTCCACAACTCTTTGAGCAATTTGCTCTTCCATATATTAAAAGTATAAGTGAAAGTGTAAAATCTAGACTGCAGAGTGAAGGACTTGATCAAGTCCCTATGACTATTTTTGCAAAAGATGCTCATTATGCTCTGGACAAACTAGGACAAGCAGGATACAATGTTGTAGGAATTGATTGGACGGTTAAACCCAAAAAAGCACGAGAAGAGGTGGGACCCAATGTCACTCTTCAAGGAAATCTTGATCCCTGTGCACTTTATGCCTCACCATCTAATATTGACCAATATGTAGCACAAATGATGACAGAATTTGGACCACATAGACACATTGCCAACCTCGGACATGGAGTATATCCTGATATTGACCCTGCACATCTATGTGCTTTCGTGGATGCTGTACACAAACACTCCAAAGAACTAAATTCCACCCACTGAATGTGAACAGTCTTAATCATGATATTTTCTTTAGTTCTTTTTAATACAAATGAGTTTTTATCTCCATTTCTGAATTGTTTTAGCATCACAACCAGTTTTCTGTAGAACCGAGTAAGTAATATAAGGGCTATAATTGTCTATATTTTTATGGTGATTACTAGTTACCTATTTATTATTGTAAAGTATACTAAGCTTATGGTGTAATTATTGCTCCAAGTACTTTTCAAAGTTTACTGTAGAAGGGGATTTCCTATAATTAAACTTTTATAATAGTTCTTGTTTAAAACAAGTTTTGTAAATAAAGAGTTTTTATTAGAACTTCTGAAATAAAAGAACTGATTAAAAGTAACATGAGTACTGAGTGATTTTCACAGAAACTAGTTGCTCTGGGAGTAACAGTATGATTACAGAAGAATACAAAAGTTTTATTGAGAGTGACAATATGATTACATAAAAATAGAAAAGTTTTATTGAGAGTGACAATATGGTTACAGAAGAATACAAAAGTTTTAATGAGAGTGACAAATGTGATTACAAAAGATGCACTGGCAGTGTGATGATTTTTGCCAAAAAAAGGGGGGATACTGCTTGTTGTGTAGTTCAGTTAATATTGAAATGTATTTTTTTTTCTGATAATTAATATACAAATACACAGCTAGAAAATATCCTGCTTGGCTTTGGAACAAAAGAAATACTTGACCTGTCTCTCATTTTCTTGTATTTAATAAGTTAAAAAGTACCCAAGTTTATTTGTTACTGTAGATCTCTCGTGCTTCCTTCATGTTGTTAGTTGTACACAAAATGAAAGTTAATCAGAGTTTTTATTATCATGCTATACAATAATATCAATCACCTCTCCAGTTATTGTTATGTAAATCAAGCATCTGGTGATGTGATGTGAAATACAAATCTTTAGTCATGTGCTGTGGTCCTGCATAAACGTTCTCTCTTCAGCACTACCACAGTATAGTGTTCCTAATTGTTCATGGACCATGATCAGACCTCATAAAGTCACTTGGATAATTCTAAATTGTTCATGAACCATAGTCGGACCTCATAAAGTCACGTGTATAATTCTAAATTGTTCATGGACCATGGTCAGACTTCATAAAGTCACTTGGATAATTCTAAATTGTTCATGAACCATAGTCGGACCTCATAAAGTCACGTGTATAATTCTAAATTGTTCATGGACCATGGTCAGACCTCATAAAGTCACTTGGATAATTCTAAATTGTTCATGAACCATAGTCGGACCTCATAAAGTCACTTGTATAATTCTAAATTGTTCATGGACCAT